TTGCAAAAGTGGCCCCTATAGGGGATATGCTAGTCGATGATTTTTATCAGAGGGTCAGACCCTAAACCCCTACAGTGACCACTTGAATTTCACCTCTATGAAGAGCAATTTTTTCCACTTAAAAGGGCTTTCCTGGCCCCTCTAGGGACCACTCTAGTGTTCCCAAAGCAGCCCCGACCTGACGCAAAAGCCGGTTCAAAATGACGCTTCCTCCCTTTATTTCGCAATACCTGGCTAGGCATTTACCTCTCTTCCGACTCACCTATCTATTTTTGAAGTCAAAAAAGAGAAAAAACCCGAGTTTTAACGGCTCGGAGTCCGAAATAATCCGCCTGGGGGACCGCCGAGTGACCCTCTCGACTCACGTTTTTCGGGCCGCCTCTCTAGGACCACTCGGCTCTTGAAACTTTCCATTTTTTCTATTGTTTGGTGTCGATTTTCGACTTTATACACTATTTATAGAGTTTTTTTCTACAATCGCTTTGGGAACAAGTTTTTTGCCACCGTTGGGGTTTTGCACGGAAATACGAAATTTCGAATGAATGGAAGAAAAATCTCACAGAAAATTATAGAAATAGGATATTCAGAAAATAGAGAGAAGATTCCTTAAGTCAATTTTGCAAAATAAATCAAAAAAAATTTATGATATACTGTAGCCGAGTTTTCCGCAACTTTTCGTCTTCGTCATGCATAACGTGACGCAAACTCTCTTTGAAATTTTCCTTTTTTCTTTCTTTTTTTATTCTTTTCATCTCATTTTCGATATTTTTTCTGTTTTTTTCTTGAAGAATAAGACAATCATCTAGTTGTTCAAGCGCTACAATTTGAAATATATTGAAATAAATTTGAAAATGAAGAAAAAATCCAATTTTTTTTTCAGAAAAATGACGCGATTTTCGTAGTTTTAAAGTTGTGTTTCCATTTTTTTTTGTACTGACTTTGGCTGACCAAACGATTGATTTGTTGTGAGGATCGTTCGGGGACGACCCCGTTCCACCGATATACTGCGATTCAAATTCCCTCCGTTCCACCACCTCAATCTTTCCTTTGTCTTTTGATCTCGTTTTTTTCGTTTTTTTTCCGCTTATTTGGTCTTTGAAAATGTTCATGAAAGGTTTTCATCGATTTTATAATATGATAAAATGCAAATAGTATTGAGGAGAAGAGCGCCATGAGTCAACCAGTTTGAATTTTGACTCTGGTCGTATTTGTATAGAAGTTTTTTTGTCGTTGCGAAGAAGGAGATTGCAATAAGGTTTTATTTCCTATTTTATTTTTTAAAATTGTGGTTTTTTTATCACTTCAATATTTATAAGGGAGTTTTTGTAAATTTGCTTTTTGTTTATTATTGCAGTTTTTGGGTCATTTTTTGCGATTTTTTTTCAGAAATCGTTATTGTTATTTCATGTGAAATTGTAAAATCTGTTCGAAAAATCTTTTTTTTTGGAGATTATTTAGTCCCCCATGGACTCGACTAACATAGAAAAAGGCTCTTTTCCATGAAATTTGGTCATGTCGCTTTAAAGTCTTTCATCAAGTTTTTTGAGCAGTCTGGAAAATTGATCATTTTTGAAAAGCTTCTTTCATGATAGCTCTCGATTTTTAAGTATTTTTGAAAAAAATCCTTCGTAGTTTTCATTGCAGCCCCAGACGTGCCATTGGCGCATTTTCCTCTTTCAAAAAAATCTATATATTCACCTGTATTTCCCATTTTCCATTTTGCTTTGTTTCACGGTTCTTATTTTCATTTTTTTTTTAATTGGATAATTCAATTATAGTAGTGGGAAATCGTAGAATCAGCTGAAAAAAACAGGAAAAAAACAGTCTAACTTTCATAAAAAAAGTCCAAAAATTCGTTTCGGATACTTCTTCAAGGCACAGAAGGCTTGCTTGAATTCAAATAAAACTGAAAACGGCTCTTCGCTTCGAGACTTTTATAAATTTTGATCATGTCCCTTTAAAGTTTCCTATCAATTTGCTTGAGAAATTCTTTTGGAATTTTTTTCAAGAGTTTTTTTTTACTCATAACGCCTTCAGTTTTCAAGTGTTTCAAAAAATGTTCTATAATTCTTATTGCAGGTTCAGACTGAACCATTAGCGCATTTTTCTACTTCAAAAAATCTATATATTCATTTGTGTTTTATTATTTTTTGTTCGTACGTTTCTAAAAGTTTGTATTTTGTTTTTTTTTGCTGAGAATTTTGATTTTAGTAGTGAGAAAGTGTAAAATTAGCTGAAAATCAGCAAAAAAGTCAATTTTCTTTTCGAACAGTGTGAAATTTTTTTGAAGAATGCCTATTTTTGTGGTAACTTTTTCCAATTTTCAAGTATTTCAAAAAAATGATCTTTAATTTTTTTATCTTTGTTTCAGTCTATACCCTTAAGCGCATTTTTCCTCTTTCAAAAAAATCTATATATTGATTTTTTTATGTTCAATATTTCGTCCCCACTGACTCTATATGTCCTTATTTTTTTTCTCTTTGTGGTGTATTATCCAATTGTAGTAGTGGGAAAGCGTGAATTTGGTTGAAAATCAGGAAAAAAACGCCCGAAATCGGATACGTGTTTATTTGAGGAAGAACACTTTTGCTCGTACTTTTTCCCATACAAACGCCGGAACTCGTGTCTTCTTTTGAAAATCCGAAGATTGCCTCCAATTTGTTGGTGGTCAACCCAAAACCAGCCCATTTTCCTCCTTCTCCGCTCAAAAAGGCGCTTCCTGACTGTTTTTCCTTCGTTTTGTTTTGTTTTCCCTGGGAAAATCGTCTTCAGACGTTCCCATGCGACGAGAAGGCAATAAGCGGTTCTCAAGAAGGCAGGATAAGTCAATATTTCGATGATTTTGGAGCGATTTGAGCTTCGAAGTCTCTAAAATCTGTCCAATAGGATATTAAGAGCCGTTTTTTGTGTCTTTTTAAATCTTGCTAAGCTTAAAATGTCCCAAAAACGACTTTTAAACCTTAAAGTAATAAAAAAAGTCAGATATTGGCAGGATTTTGTTCAATTTTTCATTTTGGCTGGTTTCCCTGTTTCAAAGTCAGTTCATAACCAATTTTTTTAGGTTCAGAGCTAATTTTTTTGAGAACGGCTATAGTATGTTTTTCCCGATTTTATGTCACATTTTGTTATATAAATGATTGAAATTTAAAAATATCTCTCGAAATTATATAAATAAAACGGATTTTTCAGGCTGATTTCTCAATGTTTTTCATAATAGTAATAATATTTCAATTTCATTTTGTTCTAGGAAAATTTTTTTTTATGAAGACTCATCAAGTGTTTTGGTTTTGTATTTTTCCTTTTTAAAGTTGAGCTGAAACAGGAAAAAATGAAATCCTTGAAAGGGAAAATGATAACTTTTTTTCAGACTTTCTGAAAACCTGTCCAAGTTTTAACCTAAATTTTTGTTTTCGCCATTTTTCGCCTCTATTTTTCTCTCTGTAATTCAATTTCTACCTTTTTTCCGAGCTTTGAAGCGTTTTTGTTCGGAAAATCCCTTGAAAAAAAAAAATAGATCAAATTCTTTGCCGCCAAGTTTTTTGAAGTAAGTCAGTTTTCCCGCTTTTGTAGGTTCTTTCAAAAAAAAATCTGTTACTTTACATTTTTTTTAATCGATTTTTCCTTGTCATACCACTCATTTCCCAATACCATTGTTGTGGACGACGTGTTCTTCTCGTTATCAGCTGAAAGAAAGAATTGGTTTATCAATTGATCATTATCTTTTTTGTGAATCAATTCCTTGAAAAGCCTTTTTCTGGAACTTGGGTCTCTTTATTTTTTTTTTCAATGGATTTTTGAAGCTTGAAATATTCTAAAACTGACTTTTCATCATTTATTTTCTTTCGAAACCTTGATTTTCTTATCATTCAATGTTTTGTTTGCCTTTTTTCTTCATATTTTGTTTGCTTTTATGAAATCTTGAATCAATAACTTCAAATATGCGTCAAATCCATTTCTGGCATTTTGAATTGAATCAAAATTAGTAAAAAAAAAGATTAGTTCAAATAAGTGTTTTGTTAGCGAAAAAGTCAGGTTAATAAAATGATAAAATAAAGATTTTCTTCAAAAATCGATAATTTTTCAAAGCTTTTTTTAAAAGTACTCTTCCGAAAGTTTACTTGAAAAATTGATGATTTCGGAAAAACAAAAAAATAATCGGAATTTCCGCGTGAACGGCGTTTTGCGGCAAAGTTGCTCCATGGATAAAATGATTCGTCATCATTTTTTTGAGATTACTTTTTCTTTCTTTTTCCTTTTTTTCGCTTTTTTTCTTCTTTTTGAATTTATTCAATGTGCTCAAGAAAATATTTGTCATGAAAGTTTTAAATTATGACAGATTTAGGAGATTTTTTTCGCTGAAAAATGTTGCTTTTTTTGATGATAAGTTTTTTCTTTGAAGTGTTGTTCGAAAACGGATCATTTTCGTGGTTTCTAGGAACTATACGAGCTCATGATCAACTAGGGGAACATTAGAATGTTATAAAATGTTTATAATTAAATTAAAATGAGACTTTTTAGTCTGTTTTAGCGATTAAAAACTTTTACTCTCACTTTTTTTATCTTCGTTTTCAATTGTGAGGAAACTGTGTGATGAAGCTTTTTAACTACAGATATTAAAAAAAGTTTCTAAGTTTTGTTCGAAATTGAAATAAAAAAATATTGATTTTTTTCCTCATTTTCATTATTTTTTTGTTTCGATTCGTTTCGTTTCGATTTTTTTGAAATTTATAGTTTTTTTGATTTGAAAGAAACAAGAGAAAAACCATATCCTGAAGTGATTTTTTTCACGAAAAAAATCGAAAAATTCTGAAGCTGGTCTAAAAATTACAAAAAATTTTTCTTCATTTTTTTCATGTTTTTTTGTCGATTTTTTTCTCATTCTCAATTTGCTATCGCTTATAACTCTTCATAAAAATATAATCAACGAGTTTTGCAGATTAGCACTATACAACTCGTTAGATATAGAGGAATTGACAAGGAAAAGCTGGAAAATACGGCCGATGGACGGAAACGTGACGCTGGGCCGCGGACACGTTTTCCCGCTTGAAAACTACAAGGTTCCTTATTATTATTGTCGATTATTGTTGTGGGTGTTGTTTGAATTAAACTGGTTTTTGGCTAATCGAAAAAAATTCGATGAGTAGGAGGTGGAGGTGGAGAGATAGGAAATTTATGTGAGGTAGGGCGAAATTTAGAATTTTAGAAAGTTTGGTAAGATGAACAGAATTGTTTTAAGGTGTAAAAAATTCAAAATTCTCTCATTTTTAACAATTTTAAGCTTCAAGCTTGAAAATCCATTCAATTATTCAGGATATGTTTCATACTTGTTCTAGAAAACAATCCGAATTGTAAGGGGCGGATGGAAAATTATTTGAAAATCATTGTTTTTCGGTTGAAACGGCTTAAAATCTCTATAGGAGCCACTTGCATGTTCTAGTTGCAAACATAAAGTGGTCCCTGGAGGGGAGCCTTCAAGAGCCCTAAGTTTCCTCCTATAGTGACAACTCTGGCGTTCCTAAGACTGGTTGACCTTTTGTAATTGGTTTTTATTTCATAATTCAAGGTTGCGAAAATTAATTTAAGAGTATTTTTTTCGCAGAGAAAAATGGCTCATTTTTAAAAAAATAGAAGAGAAAAAAAGGTTTTAATATGGGTCACAGAACTCTTAATTTTAATAAATTTTTGAAAAAAAGCACAAAATTATAGTCAATGTTTCCCGACTTGAAAGGCGAGAGGCGGGGCAGGGGCGGGACGCGTAGCGTGTGCGTTCGCGGTTCTTGGCACGAGTTCAATTCAATTTCCGCCGACTATTTAAAAAACTCGGCAGCCGCTCTTTTTCGATGTTTTGTACTCTTTTTTGATGCACTCATGAACATAATCAATAAATAATTGAAAAAGGAATGAAAAAAGCGAAAAACGGGCTTTTCAAAGAGTAGATGGCGGTTAAATTGACCTCGTGCCAAGAACCGCGAACGCACACGCTACGCGTCCCGCCCCTTGCCCCGCCTCCCTCGCCTTTCAAGTCGGGAAACATTGACTATAACAATAGAATTTTTTTTGAGTTACGTTTTAAGCTTGAGAGAATGTAACATATTTTGCTGTTCCATTCCAAAAATAAGAACTTGGAATATTTTTCCGGATTTAGTTCTGTTCTAGAATGGAGAAAATTTTCTTTTGAAGGTCTTTCCTAGTATATTCGGGAAAAATCAAAACAGAAGACTTAAAAAAATGATAAAATAATTCTTAATTCCTGGAATCAAGGACCTTCAAGTTTTGATGATATTGTACCAATTTTTTTCTTTTTAATTCCTTTGAAAAAAATGGATGTAACCCCCATAAGTTAGCATTATTTTTGTTCTGAGATCTATTAATTTTGTTCGTTTCTGTTATTTCATGACATAGGTTTCGATAAAGTGACTGAAAAACTCAAGTCAGTTTTTTAAGAACGTTTTTTTGATTTTGAGTTTTTTTTCGCCTATTTTTCCAATAAAATCCTTGAAAAACTCTCAATTTTACTATAATTTATTTTAAAACAAAATAGCATTCATTTTTGATCATTTTTTGCTGATTTTAAGTATAAGTTGTGAAAAAATACATTAAAAAAAACCCATAAATTTACCTTTCTTTCTCTGAAATCGAGAATTTTTCCAACTCTGATCATTTTTGCTAGCTTTTTTTGTAAGTTAGGGAGCGAATTTTTATTTATTTCTTTTTTTTATAAATATCTTTTGAAGCGGGGAGCTCGTGTCTGGCACCGACATCCGGAGCTCGTTTGGGTCGAAGGTCGTCTGGAAGATGACATCACCTTCGAATCCAGGGAATACACCATTTCCTTTGAAGATTACCCGGTTTTCGACTTTACCCTGAGATTTCATCTGTTTCTCGATTTTTCCAGCGTCAAACAGTGCCCCTGAAGGCGATTGAACAGTTGCCTTTCCTCTGTAATCCGGAAATTCTCGTCGGGAAGGACGATTTGACCGCCTTGTCGTATCTTCATGAGCCTGCTGGTGAATTTTGACTCGAAATATGATTTTTCTATTTTATAAAAAAATACTAGAAGGCGTTAGGAAGCCTATAGGTAATTTTAAAAACTTTGAAAAATTGGAAAAAAAATTTTTTTTTTCATTTTTTTGAACTAAAAATCTGGGAAAAATCTTGAAAAAAATCGATCGATTTTTGATTATTTGTGATTATTTTGGGAATTCACAACAGAATATACTGCTTTGAATGGAGCTTCCAACAGAACTACAAAAAAATAAATTCGTTTGTTTTATCGGTTCAATTGATGCGTAAAATGTATAGGAAAAAATTTGAAACAGTGAACTTATGTATCCGGTTGTATTTTCTAGGTGTATTTTTTTTTATTCGTGAAAAGGTTGATATTTCTTTCTAATTAGGCCTGCGTCTTTTCTCGACATTTTTGTGCGGAAAATCTCTTTATAGGAAAAGGTGTTTTTTTGGCATTTTTCAAAAAGGAGTTCTCGAACTGGAATGAAAATTTATCACTGGCTGTCGCTTTTTTTTCATTTTCTGACAGCTTTTTATTGATGATTTAACAACCCAGAAGCTTGAAATATCAAAATATTTACGGCATTTTGTTGAAAATTTAATGAGTTTTTCACCGCTGATTATTCGATTTTCCAGTCCTCCACAACTTGCAAAATCGATTCGTCGTCCGGCAGAGCATCTACACGTACTGCGGGATCGTACTCGTCGCCATAAATCCCTACGCGGATTGTTCTCATTTGTATGGGGATGAAGTTATTCAAGTTGGTCTTGGAGACTCGAGAAAAAAAAAACCGGGGATAATATGATATGGATTGCTCTAATTGCTTAAAGCATTAAAATTTCCGATTTTTCTGGATTTTTTGGGTATCTAAATCGTTAATATTAGTGAACAGTATCAATAAACCTTCTTGATAAGGTGCCATTTTTGGATCCTCGAGCTAAAATTTGTCAAAAAGCCCTTTTTAAGCTGCCCGGGCTAAAAAAAAGGCCCTTTGAAGTCCCCCGGGCTGAAAAATGCCAGTATAAGGTTCTCGTGCTAAAATTCGTCATTCGAAGGTCCTCGATCTAAAAAAGGGCCATTTCATGTTGCCCGGGCTAAAAAAAGGCCCTTTAGGGTCCCCCGGGTTGAAAAAGGCCAATAGAAGGCTGACCTGCTCAAAAAATGTAATTTTTAAGGTTTTTGGGCTAAAATAAGCCATTTTGAAGTTTTAGCTGAGTTTTAGTTTCAAAAAAAACTTTTTCAAGGTCTCCGGGTTAAAAAAATATCATTAAAAAAATTGAAAAATCTTAGGTTAAAAATGCGGAATTTTGTACACGATAGTCTTCGGATAACCCTTTCTTCGTACAAGTTATCAAAAATGGACTCTCCAGGTGTACAGAGGGGTCGGAAAGTCGGTCCGAGAGCTGGACCCCCACATTTTCGCCGTCGCCGAAGAGGCCTTCTACGACATGGCCGAGTTCGGGAAAAGCCAGTCGATTATTGTCAGCGGCGAGTCGGGTGCAGGCAAAACCGTGTCCGCCAAGTTTGTCATGAGGTGAGTCTTGGGGGAAAGCGTCGCGGCTCGCGAAGCGGTCTCGAAAATTTGCCGCTTTTCTGTGTCTCGAAACGATTTTCATTGGTTTTAAACCGTGGATCAATTGGAAAAAAGCTCCATAGAAAGTTCCTTATAAGGTGATAAAGGTTCCTTTTTTTGCTGTCTTTTTGCGCCATTTCATCGGCTGTTATGCACCATTTTTGCTGTCTCTCCCATTTTCCACCGTTTCTTGTGCCTTTCAAATACCAGAAAATGGAAGGTTCGATAAAGGGACTCTTTTTGCTCCCTTTCTGCAGCCTTTTTGCGGCATTTTTTGAACCTTTTTGAAGCTTTTTTGCAGCTTTTTTGCAGCCTTTTTGCAGCCTTTTTGTTGCCTTTTCGCTGCCTTTCTGTAGCCTTTTTGCAGCCTTTTTGTTGCTTTTTGTCGCCTTTTTTGAGCCTCTCCCTTTTAGCCGCCATTATGAACCATTACAACTTTGCCCGAAAACGGTTTTTGATGGTTTCGAACCTTTAGAAATCGTTTTGAGATCTATCATCAAAAATCAGCACCATTAAACTTTAGAAGCAAAAACTCAAAAATCAAGACTGGAACCCGTGGGAAAATGTGGAATTATATGAGATTTTCAGAAAAAAAAAACGGATAAGAAATCAAATTTGAGGCTCAACGGAGTAGTTTTATAACATTTTGTGAAAAAATAATAAAAAAAAAAACTAGAATTTCCATGAGAAAAGGTTCTACGAGTTTTTAGGAAAATCGGAAAATATTATATTTCGAGTTTTTGGTTTCTTAATTTCTTAAAGAAACAGTTTCGCTTTGGAGAATTGGTTAAAAGTCGAAAAATTCAGTTCAAAAAAACTAATATAGGTTTTTGAAACGTTAAACGATTTGTAATTTTATTCAGTTCAATTGAAAGAACTATAATTTTTCCAAATTTGAGATCCTATTCTTAATTTTAAACTTGTCGAAATTTGGCTAAAATGAGACACTCTGAGAAAAGAATTTCTGACAGTTGAGTCTCGGAGAATCTTCATGATAGAAATCAAAAAAATCGGTTTTATAATAATTTTAGAAAGAACCACCCAAAAACCCCAAAAAAAACAAAACCACAACACCAACCACACCCCCAACAACCAAACACAAAAACAACCCCACAACCACCCAACCCAAAACAACAAAACACAACCCCACCAAAACCCACAACCCACACAACACCCCCGAACACATTTCTATCCAAAAGTCGCCCCGCTCATAGAACCAGCAAACGCCCTTTTTCTTAAAAAAACCACAAAACAAAACCACAACAAAAACAAAGTTTTGAGAAAAAAACCACAACCCCAACCACCCACCCACAACAACCAAAAACAAAACAAAAAAAAAAAAAAACCCACCCAAAAACAAAAACCCCCCCAACACCAAAACAACCACAAAAAAACAAACCAAAAAACACAAAACCAAAAAACATCCCCCAATTACTACCAGCCCATTGCAATAAATGCTGCGCCCCGATTGCATTTAGCCACGCCCACGTACGACGCCTGTTAAAAAGTACACGCAACTTGAAATTTTTTGAAAATTGAACAGATCATTTATTTTTTATCGTTTCTAGGCCCCTGGCGAGAGAAATTACCACATTTTCTACCAACTCTGCGCGGCTCGGAATAATCCCGAAATCAAGGAATTGCATTTGGGTTGGTTTTTTAGTTCATATTTTGAAGATTGAACTCTTTAAATAGGCTCATTTTAGGTCCTTGTGAGAATTATCACTACCTGAGCCAAGGCGGCGACAGTCGGATACCCGGGGTCGACGATCGGGCCGATTTCGAAGAAATGACCAAGGTTTCCGGTTTCAAAAAAGATTGAAAAAATGAGATTATATTTATTACAGGCCTTGAAAATGCTGGGATTCGAAGAAGGCCAAATAATGGACGTTTTTCGGGTCCTAGCCGGGGTTCTACTCATGGGAAATGTTCATTTTGATGACGGCGAAGCCTGTGCCGGCATTTCGGTCAGATTTTTGGGTTTTTGAAGAAATTCTATATTATTTTTTTCACAGAGAATGTAAATATACAGGATCAAAAAAACGTTTTGAAAAAAATTGCTTTTTTTCAGCGATTTTCTATCGATAAAAAAATGACTATTTTTTTCGTTTTTTTCCGGATTATTTTGTCAGAATAATTTTCTCCAAAAAAACTTATTTTGAAACTGCTTTTAAGTTTTTTTAGGTCGAATTATGGACATGAAAAAAACCTCCTTTTTCATCACAAACTTTCAATTTTATTAACAAAAAGTTGAAAAAAATTTTGAATTTTGAATGATTTTTCCAGCGGTTTGAATAGATGAAAAATGATCATTTTTTTGATCGTTTCCAGATTTTTTTCGTCTGGAACAATAGTTTTTTTGAAAAATTTCTTTCAAGCTTGTTTAGAAAAATTTTCCGTTATTTCATTCAGTCTTTCAAGTTTTTTTGAAGGGGAAAAACTAAAGGTTTTTTTATCTAAAATTTTTTTAGAGAAAAAAAGAGTTTTTTTCAGCGTTTCGAATCGGTAAAAATGACCATTTTTTTGGTCGTCTCCGGATTTTTTTCGTTTGAAAAAAATAATTTTTTTGAAAAAAATGTTTTTTTATTTAGATTCTCAAGAAAAATTTTTATGACGTTTCGGTCATCTTTTTGAGATTTTCTGAAAAAAATAGAGAAAAATGAGAGTTTTTCAGCGGTTTTTATTGATAAAGTTGAATATTTTGCGTGTTTCCGGAATTTTTTTGTCTTAAAAAAATAGTATTTGGAACTCTATATGGAATAACACGGGTTTTTACATTTTTGATTATTTCAGTCGAACAGTTCAAGTGAAATCGCGAGATTGTGCTCATCTCTGTGGCAAGTCGACGAGAATCTCCTTCGAATCTGGTTGACTCGCCGCGAAATTCGGGCCGTCAATGAAGTCGTCACCAAGGGACTCACCAAGGATGATGTGAATTTTCGAATCAATCATATTTTTGTTTAAAAATAGCTGCTTGAAAGATTTTTTTGATCAATCGTTTTGAGACCCTTTTCTGTGGGCTTTTTAGAATTAAGGCGAATTTTGTAATTATCATTCCTACCGTAATTGAAACCGTAAAGCTACCGTAAACCGCCTCCATTGCTACCGTAATTGAAACTGTAAAGCTACCGTAATCATAGCCCGGAAGCTACCGTAAGACGCTCACATTGCTACCGTAAACAAAGATGTAAAACTACCTTAAACCGCCCCTATTGCTACCGTAGTTAAAGCCGTAAAACTATAGTAAGACGCCCCTCTTTCCACCGTCAGTTAAGGCCGTGAAGCTACTGTAAACCGCCTCCGTTGCTACCGTGATTAAGGCCGTCAAGCTACCGTAAACCGCCCCCAATACTACCGTAATTAAAGCCGTTAAGCTATCGTAATCAAAGCCGTTAAGCTACCGTAAGACGCTACCAGTGCTACCTTAATCAAAGCCGCAAAGCTACCGTAGTTTAAGCCGTGAAGCAACCGTAATTAAAGCCGTTAAGCTATCGTAATCAAAGCCGTTAAGCTACCGTAAGACGCCCTCATTGCTACCGTAATTAAAGCCGTAAAGCTACCGTAATTGAAGTCGTTAAGCTACCGTAAACCGCTCCCAGTGCTACTGTAATCAAAGCCGTAAAACCACAGTAAGACGCCCCTATTTACTCCCTGATTAAGGCCGTTAAGCTACCGTAATTTTCGCGTGACGATGATCCTTTCTTAGTGCTTCATTTTTGGCTTCTTTTCCAAGCTGTAAGATAAAAAAAATCGAAAAATTTAGCGCTATAAAAGGTTTATCGTCGATCGATTCAGAAGATAAGTTAGTTAAAAATCTGAACAGAAATAACCTTGAAGATATTTGGATTCAGGCTTGCCGATCCCGCGACGCCCTCACCAAAATGATCTACGCGCATTTGTTCTCCTGGCTCGTGGATCGAGTGAACGCGGCTCTGGAGGAAGTTGATCTGCAGAAAAATCAGTCCTCGTCCAGAAAGCGATTGGAACGATTCATTGGAGTCCTCGATATCTATGGGTGAATGGGAAAACCGTCTTTTACTTCATTTTTGATTGATAGTCTTCTTTTTTCGTTTCTTTTTCTCGTTATTGTCGAAAATAGGCCACCTAAGTGTAGTCGATTAATATTTGATTTATTTTCTGAAGGGGGAGGAATTTTTTTCAAGACTCAAAAAGGGAGAGATTTTATTCATTAAAGTATCCATTTTTTTCCCCAAAATAGTGATTTCTGTTTATCTTTTTGAAGCCTTCGTTTAATTTTTTTAAAAAAATCAGAAATTCATTAATTTTTTTCTTGAAAAATATGCAAAAAAATATTTTTTTCTATACCCTTTTTCTAACCCAAAACATTTTTTTAAAAAAATTTTTTTCATGACCTAATCCATCCATTTCCAGATTTGAAACATTCGAAATCAATTCCTTCGAGCAATTTTGCATAAACTACGCCAATGAGAAACTCCAACAGCAGTTTAATCAAGTTATCTTTATCAATTTTTTTGATCTGATTTGAATTTACTGAACTTCAGCATGTATTCAAACTAGAACAAGAGGAATATGTGAGAGAGGAAATCGAGTGGGTCCGCGTGGATTTCCATGATAATCAGCCGGCGATCGATCTGATCGAAGGACATCTCGGCTCGATTTGTCTCATCAATTTGTTGGATGAACAGTGCAAGGTGAGCAAAATGTGGAATTTTGAGAAAGAAAAAGTTAAAAAAAAAAGAATGGTTTGGAAAAAATGTATTGAATCAAATTTTGGAGTCAGAAAAAAAAAGTAATGGGGACGTTTTCGAGTAATAAGGGTCTAAACCCCCAAAAATAGTTCATTTTAATGGATTTTGGGCATTTCCTGGAAGATTAGAAAGTTGTGTAGATTGAGGCTTCCAGTATCTTCATCTGGTACCTCAAGAAGTATTCTGACCAACTTAGTAAAATGACCTCCCTTGTGAGAGAAATGGAATAAAAAATGAGAAAGTTAGGAAGAGCTACAATTTTTGCTCATGTATTTGTATCATGTAGGGGCTAGAGATTTCGAGCTTTTTGGTTCACATCTATCTAGTTTTTGAGTTAACCTTGTTGTGCTCCATGCTTCATCTACATACCCACCAAAAAATGAGCCCAATCTGAGACGCTGAAGTCTTCGACTTTTGAGGGTCCATAACTTTTTTCACAGGCCTCTAGGGCAGTTTTTAGGACCAGATTTGGAATCAGCGTAAAAAACTAAGGTAGAGCGTGGGATGTGAAAAAAAAAGTGTTAAAGGGAAATTTTGAGTTTGAAATATTTCACATGTAACGAAATACGTTGAAAAGTTAAAAATGGAAAAAAACGTGGAAATTAGGGGTTTCTATCATTGATTAACTCAACTGAATGTTAAAAAATAAGAAATAAATATTTGGCGAAATTTGTTGGATTAACGGTGAAAAATGAGAAAAATGTTTGAAAAAATCGTTAAAAAAAAAGAAAAAGTAAAAAAATAATCGAAGTCGGATAGAGAGAGGGATGTAAAAAGTGTTGAAGGGAAAAATTAGAGTTGGAAATTTTAGAGTTTGAAATATTTCACATGTAACGAAATACATTGAAATTTAAAAAATGGAAAAAAAAAACTTGGAAATTAGGGATTTTTTTATCATTGATTAATTGAACTAAATGTTGATAAATAAGAATGAGGGAAAAATATTCGGTGAAATTTACTGGATGAACGGGAAAAATGCTTGAAAGTAGGGTAATTAGGAGTCTTTATAACGCAATAACTGTAAAAAAAATTTAGAAATAAAAAAAATCAGAAATTTTGGAAAGAAAAAGGTGATTTTCTTCAAAAAAAAAAATCACTTATTTCTATTCGTATTTTGCAGTTGGTCCGAGGAACGGACAAAGATTGGCTCAGTCAAATTTCGGGCAATCCAGAACTCAAAAGAAATCCCCAATTGGCCTTCCCGCGGGTCCGATGCGACGATTTCATCGTCCGACATTTTGCAGCTGATGTAATATTTATCAAAAAATAAAAGTCAGGAAGGAATTTTCCAGGTGACTTATACAATTGACGGTTTCGTTGAGAAGAATCGCGACACGATCAGCGAACAGCTCTTGGAAGTCATCTTCATGACCAAGGTTCGACAAAAAAATGAAAAAAGAAAAATCAAAGATACGTTCTCAGTGGAATATAAATGGTTGTTAGGTACAATTATTTCAGGATTTTTCAAATTTTCGAAAAGCTTAAAAACCGAAAAATATGGGTATTAGAACAATTACAATTTATTTTAGGTTTGATAAGTCGAAGATTTTCTCAGAAATTTGAATATGAAAAAAATAAAAAAAGCGAAAATTTTGAGAATAATAGTTGGAATCATATTCTCAGGTTTTAGGTAGAATAAAACTAAAAATTTTTTTAGAAAAAGAAGCAATTTTTTTAAACTCCTTTGCGCTTTTTTTCGTGTTCTGAAAAATTTTTTTCTTCGTACTTTTTTTCTCCGATTTTTTTTCAAGCCCAAAAAAATGGAAGGGAACCATAATTTTGTATAACTAAGGAGGTTCAAATGAAAAGGTTCGTTTTCTTTTTAATTTAGTAAAAAAATTCAACTTTTTATTCATTTTATGAACCCTAATATCAAGTAATGAAGTAAAAACTCTCTTTTATCCGATTTCAGTTCAATTTCCTACGAGAAGTGCTCGGTCCCCAGGCGACGGCCGTTTTGGAAGCCAAAAAAGGAGCCGCCAACGGAAAGAGAACTGTGAAGAAGACGGTGGCTAGTCAGGTAGGAAAGAAATTCCCGAACTTCATAAAACTGACAATTTCAGTTCCGAGACTCTCTGAAAGATCTGATGACGGTCTTATGTTCGACTCGGCCTCATTATGTCCGATGCATCAAGCCGAATGATGGAAAGAGAAGGTTTCACCCTTTTTGATGCTTTTTTTTCCTTTATCTGTTTTTGGAAAATCAAAATTTTAAAGGTCATTGATAAAGATTAGCGGCGGCTGTAGAAAAGCTATAGAGACAAGAAAAATAGCTTGAGCCCAGGATTTATCTCATTTTTAAATTAGTCTTCTTTCCAGAATTTTTTTTTAGAGTATAAATTTTTTCATTCTCGATAGGTCTTTTGAGTTGTCAGCTGAGACCAGGAAATCTGCGTTCTAAGAAAATTATGTATTAATGGTAAATGAAGCTTTTCAAGCCCAAAGACGTCGATTTTGATAAGAAAGTACATTTTAAACTCCGAAAAAATGTAGAATTTCTTGAAATTTTGAGCCTAGAAACATCCATTTTATAGATAAAATTGTGAATCTGACTAATTTCGCCCCTTTTTCAGCTTCGAATTCGACCCGAAACGAGCCATCCAACAGCTCAGAGCCTGTGGAGTCTTGGAAACTGTCCGAATTTCGGCGGCTGGTTTCCCGTCAAGGTTCCGAATAATCAATAAAAGAAGTGGAAGTTGAAAAATTCAGAATGCTCTACGACGAGTTTTCCAAGAGATACCGCGTACTTTACACGAAGGAACGGGCTTTATGGAGGGATAAGCCGAAAAAATTCGCCGATAACGCGTGTGCCGCATGTTTGGAGGTGGTTTATAGAAAATAAAACTCTGCTAAAAAAAACTTTCAAAGAAACTGGGCCAGTTGGGCCGGACTTCGGGCCTTTTTCGACAAAGAAGCCTGCTCAGACTTGGAATAACCTAGCCCTTTCCTTTTCCTTCATTTTTGTGGATTTCTAATCGGGCTGACCCGCGGGCGAAGTTCCTATTCGGGCCAACCCGAGAGCGGAATTTCTATTCGGGCCAACCCGAGAGCGGAATTTCTATTCGGGCCAACCCGCGGGCGAAATTTTTATTCGGGCCAACCCGCGCTTTTAATAAATAAATATATATTCGGGCCAACCCGCAATTTAGATAAATAAATAAATAAGTTTTTTTCATCCTAACTGAAACTTTTTTTAGCCAAAAAAATTATTTTTATACTGGTTTTGCTAAGGCCCGGTTGGGCGCAGAAAATGGCCCGATGGGCTGACGGGCCCGCCCTCGCACAAGCCTGCTCATAAGGCAAACTTTTTGAGATTTTATAGTCTAGAAAACAGAAAAATATTTTTCACAAAAACTGAAAGAATACATTGAAGGAAGGAAAATACGCTCTGGGAAAGACGAAGATCTTCCTCAGGACCGGCCAAGTCGCCGTGTTGGAGCGCGTCAGACTCGAAACGCTTTCCGCCTCGGCCCTTCTCATTCAGGTTCTACATACGAATCTTTTTTTTGACAAATTTTTTTAGAAAACTTGGCGAGGCTACGTGGCTCGTAAGAAGTATGAAAACATGAAAAGATCCCTTCAAATTATCCAGGTTTTCGGCTGGAGATTTCAGAAGAGAACGTGGATTTCAGGCCGCCACGAGAGCCTTCTTGGCCTTCAGAAGAATCAAATATCTGCAGATGCACCGGGCGGCCATCGCCATTCAGTCGGCTGTCAGGTTTGTCAGAGACTTTTAGAGGGATCCCTAGAGGGAATATCGAAAAATGATCGAAAAACCTCGATTTTCAGACGGCATCAAGCCGAAAAACGTTTCCAGAAGATCCGAAACACGGTCATCGCCATCCAGTCCCACTTCCGAGCTGTGCGAGTTCGACGATATGTTGAGAAAGTTTGAAAGACATATAAAAGTCTTCTCCCAACACCTCCCTTTTCAAGATCCGCTATGAAAAGTCGGCGATCAAAATCCAAGCGGCCTTCCGCGGCTGGATGGTCCGTCGGGAACAAATCGTCAGATGCCAGAAGATCGTTCTCGTCCAGTGCTGCGTCCGACGCTGGCTCGCTAAGAGACGTCTGCGCGAACTCAAGGTATGAGTCCCTACGTGGGTTAACCTTGGAAGTAGAGATCGTACTTCGGCTGACTCGCAGGTAGAAATCGTCGGCAGCCCGAGGGCGGAGTTCCCACGCGGGCTAACCCGAGGGAGGGATTTCTATTCGGGCTAACCCGAATGCTCATGCGGGCTAACTCGAAAGCAGTATTCATATGCAGGTTGACCCGCGGGCGATATTCCTCTTCGGGCCAACCCGCGGGCGAAATTTCTAGGCGGGCTTACCCAGCCGGAATTCGTATTCGGGTTGACATGCGGGCAGAATCCTTGCGCGGGCTAACCCGAGGGCGGAATTCCTATTCGGGTTAAACCGTGGGCGAAATTCCTATGCGTGTTGACCCGCATGCCGACCCGTGGGCGAGGTTCCTATGCGGGTTGACCCGCGGGCGAAATTCCTATCCGGGCTAACCCGAATGCCGAATTCTCACGCGGGCGAAATTCCTATGCAGTCTGATTCAAGGGCAGAATTCCTTTGCGGGCCAACCCGCGGGCGATATTCCTCTTCGGGCCAACCCGCAGGCGGAATTTCTACGCGGGCTAACCCGATGGCATAATTTTTACGTGAGCTAACCCGAAGTTATAAATCGTAAACGGGCTAAACCTCTGACATGAATTATATAAGCAGTTACCCGCGGGTTGGATTTTTACGTGGGCTAACCCGCAGTTAGAAATCTTATAAGGGTTAACCTGCTGTCGGGTTTACCCGATCCATCCTGAAACACGAAGAAAAATGTTTTAGTCATTTCAAAAATTGTAGATCGAAGCTAGATCCGTCGGTCATTTGCAAAAGCTCAACACTGGCCTGGAGAACAAAATCATCGAGTTGCAGATCAAATTGGACGCCGAGGTATCGTTTTTATTACGAGCCCCCTCCCATGTTGAATCTTCCCTCTGGAACTCGAGGAGAAGAAGAAAAAAAAAGACATAAAATGGCAACATTTTGCCGGGCGCCGAGAGCTTCTTTAATGGGGCTAACGGCATGAATAACGAGTTGCAAAAGCGTCTTTTCGGCTCCCTCGGTCAGAAACTTTGGCCATTATTTAATGAGGAATGTTCTTCGAGAAGTTCCGGTTGTTTTTGAAGAATTATTCTGGCTTGTCAAGTTTTTTTGATATTTTAAATGTTGTCAAAGCTTCAATTTTGTAGATTCTTGTTAGTTTTCGAATTTTTAGTCCATTAAAACGCCGTTTTTCAGAATAATTTCTTCCAGAAAAAAAACAGTTTTTTTACAATGTTTAATAAAGAAATTTCATTGTTTTTTTGACTGTTTTAAAAACAAACCGGCTTTCTTCCTTTTTTGTCCTGAATCGAAGTAGCTTTCGGGAGTTTTTAATTCGGTAGATTCTTGGCAGCTTTTGAATCTCCATTTCATCTGGACCTACCTTTTTTTCAGAACCGCTTCTTCTTGAAATAAGTTTTATTTAAACAAAACTCTTTGAAAATTCTGATTTCATTGATTTTTGGCCCTTTTTTATAAAAGCCATAGATTTTTATAGTATTTTGGGGTCACAACAGCTTTTTATTTTTGTGTTTTGTTAGATTTTCTGCATATTTGTGGAGTCCTATAACCTGTTCTAGTTTTTTGCTGTCTAGAAAATTGTTTTAAAAACAAAATATAATTTAATTTTTATTCAACTAGAAAATTTTGAGAAATATCTGTTTTTCCTGCACTTTAGACTTCTTTGAAATCAATTTTGAGCTTCTAAACCTTCTTCAAAACAAGTTATTTTGATTCTAAAAGTTTTTTTGCTGACACTGGGGGGTTTATCCGTAATTTTTTTCAAAAATATGTTTTAAAAGATCTGATTTCATATTTTTTTTTATCAGAAAGGTTAATTTGATTTGAATTGGTGTGAATCAAGTTTTTCATTAAATTTGGTCGAACTTTATGGATTTTCTCAATCAACAGGGTTTTTTTTAACTTGAGAAATTCTTCTAAATTTTCAATTTTTAGGTCTACAAATGGACTTTGAGTTTTAGATTTTTGTTCAGAAAATATTTCTCACTTTCTGTTTTTTTAAATTTTTTTCTCTTGAAAAATATATAAAAAGTATCAATATTTATGTTTTTATTGGAAAAGAAGGCGTTTTTGTTTAACGACAATATTCATGAGAATCATTCTTTTTTCGGCACGGAATTCTGCCCCCACACACGATTTTTATTACAAATTGATGTCTAGTGAGAATCTTCCTCGTTTTTGGCTTTTTTTTTAATTCTAGGAAGTTTTTGAAGGTTGTGGATATTAGTTTGGCTTTTAGAAGGATTTAGGTAGGCAGAAAAAAATTATAGAGTGGTGTAAAGTTTTTTTTTAATATTTAGAATGTTCAGATTTCGTTTTTGGATCCGTTTCTATTCGATAAATTCTGCTCCTTTACTTTTTTTAATAATTCAATTTTTTTGGAACTAATTATTTTTTTAGGTGCTCGACCTTGAAAGTTTTTCTTGATAAGCGTTAATAGAATGTTAAGATTTCGAAATGTGACCAAAATTGGAAGATTTAAAAGCTTCTGAATAGCCTCCGAATGAACCTATTATGCTTTGAACACGGAAAAAAATCCCCTTTTTTTGAATATTTTCTTTACGGAAGTTCTTTTTGAGTCGAGTTTGACACCTTTCAAGTTTTAAATGAATTGAATAATTTTATGAAAAGACCTTTTTGGGTCATCTAAAAGTCCGATTCTATAAGTTTCTGCAGTTTGAGATTCAAAGCATCAAGTTTTCCCGTATTTTACAATTTATCCACAAATTGACTTTTTTTTGGTCCCTTCTAGTTTTTTTGACCTTTAAATCTTCTAATGCCGTGTTCAAAGCAATTTCAGCGATTTAGTTTTACTAGGATTTAGTTATCTTTCTCTCTCTATGACGTCTGTTTTGGATTTTGCGGAATCATTTTGAACACGGCACAAAGTCAAGGATTAGTAAGAAATAAAAAAATATTATTTTAGATTGAATCTTGAAACGGAAATTAGAGGTAAAAAAGTAGCTTTCCACAGGATTTTTTTGAAGTTTTTGTAGATTTTTGGAAGATTTCATGTTGGGGACTCAAAATCGACCTTGGGCTTTTCGACTTTTTTTTTTGAAATGTATCTTTTTTTTTCTTTTTTGTTTTTTCGTATTTTTTGATGTTTGAACTCCATTCTTTCAATTTGAAAGTTCAAAAAAAGTATTTTAACTGAATCTTCCGACGAAATGAAAATCCGGTTTATGTTCCCCTCATTTTCTCAAGACATTAACTGCGGCTCACGGCTGAAAATCTGCTGAAAAAAAAACGGCTGAAATGGCTTTTTGCCGATTTTTCTCTCGGCTGCCCGGCAGTTACGACAAATCGGCGCCAAGTTCACAGTTTTTTCTTTTTCTTAGAGTTTTTAGGGTCAAAAATATAGTGTTCTTGATTTTTTTATTCTTACAAGATAGGTTATTTCACATGGTGGCTCGGAATTTTTGAAAATTGGTTAGAATGCTCCTTGATGTACCAGAAGAAGATTCTGAAAGTCTCAACCTTCAAAAATTCATTTTTCGAAAAAATGAAGGCTCAAAGCTCAAATATGACCTTTTTTAACGGATTTTTAAGGTTTTCTTTGACGTCTTCTCTCGAAAACTAGGAATTTTTGCAGGTTGAGATTTCAGAGTCTTTTTTGGTGCTTCAAGAAATGTTCTGACCAATTTTTAGGAAAATCCCAATCCCAAAGTAAAATCGCCTCCCTGTCAGTTGATCAATTGAGTTTTGGCGATCATTTCAGTTTCACTTAGCATGTAAAGATGAATTATGTTGATAGGTTCATTCCGTATACTTCTTGGTGTAAAAGTCGGTCGCTTTTTTTTATTTTTTCAAGTTTTCGAATTTTGAACTTTTTGAGTATTAACACATCTAAAAAACGCATTTTTTTTATAAAATGACCATTTTTTAAGGCAATTTTCACAAATTGTGGTCATTATTTTAAGAAAAATTCACTTTTTTGAAAAGGAAAAATCCTTGATTTATTGTTTGATTCTCAGCTTTTTGATTGAATTCTAGTAGTTATTGCAGATTCAATAAGCATGTAAAGAGAAACAAAATTGATAGGTTCATTCCGTACACCACTTGCTTGAAAAAGTCGGTCGCTTTTTTTGATGCCCATTTTTTTGAAATTTCCAATTTTTTTAATAATTTTTTTGAGCTTTATTAAGGCGTTAACGTTTTTTTAAAATATCTATTTCTTCATAAAAATGACCATTTTTGAAGTCAGTTTTTCAAATTTTCTTGTCATTAATTTTTAAAAATATTTCATTTTTTTCCTGAATTTTTCTATTTTTCGCCGAAAAAAATGCTCTCAAATATCAATGAAAAACTATTTTGACCTTATTATATTTTGATTTCAGGTGAAATTGGAAAACTTGGGTTGAAAAATTATTGAAAAAAACACTTTTATAAAATCGCCAATATTCAGTTTTTCGAATCTCAAAACCTAACCACAAACGAGAATTTTACGCATTTTAGACACTCAAACAATGTAAATTTCAAAAAAAAAAATCTTTGCAATTTTCAAAAAATTGTTCAATACCAAAAACGACCAAAATGATCAACTTTTCCAGTCGGAAGATAGTATTCAGAATGAAAGAAAACAAAAAAAAAACTCCTAAAAAATGGCAGTACTTTTCCGGCTCCCTAACGCCTCTTTGTCATTGGATATGGGCGAAAATTGATAGTGAGAAGAAGCTTCTGACAAATGACTTCTCTGTTTTTGCTTCCCGAGGGCGGAAACATGTGTTTGACCGGCCTTCGAGTTCAGTTCTTGTGATTTTTTCGATTTTGTCGTACTTTTATTGGTTTTTTTGTTTTTATTTATGCAAGAAACTATCAGCAAAAAAAGAAAAAAAAAATAGAGCCTCCCATTTTAAATTGAAAATGGTCTTGAAAGGTAGAAAATAGGGAGAAGAGGTTCTTTTAAGTTTTTTTAAAAGTGGAGAAATTTTTAAGCCTTATCCAGCTGATATTCAGGTTTTTTCCAGACCTTATGACCTTTTTTCATGATTCTTTTTGAATAGTCTATTCATGATTGCTTCCCAGGTGTTTTTTTAAGCCTTTTATGGATTTAACTTTAAAAAACAACCAATTCACGTTTGAAACCTTTGTGAGAGGTCGCTAGGCGTTTTCAGGCCGTTATCTAGGACTGTCGATCCTAATTTTCATATTTTGTACAAAAATAGAGCTTTAAAAAGTTGTATGGTTATAACTTTTTGAGGACAAATAAAGATCAGAAAAACAGATTTCCCAAAAAATTAAGTCAAAATAAAATTCTGTGCAAAATTTCAAAGATGTGCTCTTCAACTACAAAAAAGAAACGCACATAAAATCGAATTGGACGCTTTTTTGATTTGAAACGCGTCTGATGTGGTTTTGATGGGCGGCGCACTTGAAGCCGTGCTCTTTTTTGGCCTACTTGAATTACCCGAAGAATATGGCTCAACAAACTTTTTTGCTCCACTCAGATTTTCTTCTTCCTTCAAAATCTTCATTTTTTGAAGCTCTTGATCTAGGAAATTGAGGTTAAAACTCGTCAGAACGTCTTTTTTTGGAAGGAAAATGAGAATTTTGTGATTTTTCAAGTTTTTAGTCTAAGTTCGAAATCACTTGAAAAATTTCAATAGTTCGAAATAATTGAGATAAAATTGAATTTTTGGAAGAGCCCTGAGAAGCTGAATCAGATAAATTTCCGACTTAGATTCGAAATTTATCCTTATTATGGGTTTACTCCGAAAAACTTGGAGAGTAGATCCACAAAAATCTTTAAAAAAGCTTCTAGAACGCCCTAGAATCTTGAAAACCGCCCCTTTTTCGAATTCTGTAGGAATCCTTGGCTCAAATCCAACATCCCTGCTGTTTTTCCGGCACAGGCGGATATTGTGAAGCAAACAGTCCGGGGAAAACGTCAAATTTGGCGTATTTATTCAATTTTTCCGGAAAAGGAGTAGCCCAGAATTATGATTTCTTTCCTGAATAACTTTCTGCTACGAACCATGCCCTTTTGAAAGCTCTAGAGGCTCCTGTAGGGTTCTTGGCCCGATTCCAACACTCCCACTGTTTTTCCGGCACAGGCGGATATTTTGAAGAAAATAGTCTTGAGGAAAAACGTCAAATTTGGCGCATTTATTTTTTGTTGGAAATAGCCTGAAAAGCCGAATGATACGGACACGCGTCGGCAGCCAGACCGGGGGCCCGAAAGCCGGAAAACGGACGACTCTAATCGGCCCGGCGGCGGCTGTTTGTCGTCGTGTTGCGCCGAATTCTCGTGTGTCTTTCCAGGTGTTGCCGACCGACAATACGGTCAATTTTGGCCATAATCTTGTACCTTTTTTGCTTGTTCTTTTGAACTTTTAGAGTAACAGCCTTTTTTGACACGATTTGGTCAATTTACACTTATAAGCATGTCTATTCAGTTCTTCAGAACTTGAGAAGAATCGAATTTTTCAAAGACATGGAATTTAGTCCTGAATCGTGTGTCTATTTTTGATCGCTCTTTTCAACTTCCAATGAAACTGTCATTAAGAACATGAAAAACTTCTGGGTTTTCTCGATTTTTTGCCACTGCGCAAAACGGTCAATTTTCGCTCTGAATATCTCACCTTTTCATTCAGAAATTGGGAAAAATGGATAGTTTTGAAGCCAGAAAATTAGTTTTCTTGAAACAAACCATTTGGAGAAATTTCTAATTTTACCGTCGAAAATACGGTTAATTTTCGTCTAGTCTCTTTTGCCTTTTTTAGAATCAAAATAATTTTTGAACTTTCTTTTTCGAATTTTTCGGAGTTTCCCCAAAATATTGTACTGTAAAATACGGTCACTTTTTAAACCATAATCTTGTGTCTTTATCGTTTTCTTTCTTCCGACAGAATTCAAAGTCAATTTTGAAAATAATGAGTTTTGAAGTTTAACTCAAGTTTTATCATTGACTCATAGTTTCTCAACTTTTTTTTATTCTTGAAAGTTGAGAAAAGCCATTTATTTTTCAACTTTTTGACATTTTTTCTTTGCAAGAAGTTCAAAAAAGGTTCAGTTTTTAAATTTCAGCTTCATTTTCATAGAAGGGTCTTGTTTTCTTTATTTCTTCTTATTCTCACATCTTGAAGTTGAAGGAAGTCCTTATTTTTTTTTTGCTTCACGAGGATTTTTAGAAGAAAAAAATAATGAAGTTCAACAGCTTGAAAATGGCCATTTTTGAAAATCCAGGTTGATAAGAGATTCATATTTTCTCAGTTTTTCCCTGTTCTTATACCTAAAAAGTCTTAAAAAAAGCTTCTTTTTAAAGTGGTATGAAAAAAACACCAGCAAAAAAATTCAAACGGCTCCCCTTCCGACTTTTTTTCCTTTATGTTTTTTTCGGTTCATCTATAAACTTTTTTTTTCCTATTTCTTTGTGTTTTTAATCTTGAACCAACTACCTACTTTTTATAGGAAGATTTAAACGGAGATTTTATCGAGAAAAAAAGTCGGAAAAAGATTCGTCGGAAAGTTTCCTAGCCATATGAAAAAAATCGGAAAAGTCGTCGTTTGAATTTTTGCTGGTCTTTTTTTCATACCACCTTTTTCTGAATCTCAACGCCTTTCCGGAGATTCTCTGCGAAAAGTCCAACAGCTTGAGAAGCGACAGAAATGTTTCTTGAAGTATTTTGGCGAGAAATGAAGCTGTGTGTGAGGTTTTTGTCGCTTTTGCCGGTCGCCCCAGGGGATGATAAGTATTGTCGTTCTCGACATGCATCTTTCTCGTTGCCTTTTCAACTCTCGACCACCAGAAAAAAAACTGAATTTTTCACGACCCCACGGACTTGTTTTCCAGTGTTTTCAAATTTTCGAACAAAATATTTTGATGGATTTGTTGATAAGTTTTGACTTTTGAGCCATTTATATTGGCTCGGAAATTTATTTTAGTTTTTTTAGACCAATAAATTCACTTTTCCGTCAATTTTAAGTCGAAAAAAATGGAAATTAGAAACTTCCAAATTCCAGTCAAAATGATCCGATTTGAGTAAAATCGACTTTTCTTTTTTCTGAGCTTTTAATTAATTGTTTTAAAGTTATATTTTTTGAATTTATAAGTTTTTTTTCCTTCCTTTTTGTAATTTTTTTTTAGGTTGATATGAGTTTTTTTAAGACTTTCTATGCCTAAAAATGTCATAGTGGTTTTTTTAGTTTTTTTCAAAATTCCCGTCTTGGTGCAAAAAAATGAGGAATAAGTGACTTACATGTTTTTTTAAAGCTACATTTTAATAAATTTTGGTTTAAAAAAATTTGTTCTTTCGCTCCTATTAGATGAATAAAAAAATTTTTTTTGAATGTGAAAGAAATTCGAAAAACTTGATGTCTTGTAGGAAATTATGGAAGATTTCTCAATTTTCAATGATTTTCCGGCTTCTTCCGTGTTTAGGATCATTATACGAATGAGAATTTTTTTAATGAAACCTCATAAAAAAATGACTTTTTTTCACGTAGAAAAATTTTTTTAAAGTTCTATTTTGAGCCCGGCTTGAAACCCTTTCTATCAGAAAAAAATGTAAAAAAACCAAAAAAATTTGGTCATTATTTATTTTCTAACCTTATTTCCTATGGTTACCTTGCTCCAGGTACTGTAAAACTGATCATTTTGAGACCAATTATGTGAATTTCTACTCATTTTTCTCTATTTTCGAAAGGCTTGAGAAGATGATATGAATCTCAGGGAGGATCACTTAAACGATAGCTAATTGTCTCGAGAAAGAGAAGAAGAAGAAGTTGGGCGGAGATTTATGGCGCCCGCGGCTGTTTTGAGGCCTTTTTGCCACTCCCTCCCACCTGCCCTTTTCCTGTTCCCATGCCGCTTTTCCGTAACCTATTTTTTGATTTTAATTCGAAGAGTTATTCTTTTCTCTTCTCGTTCTGAAGTTTTCCCATTTTATTCGCTAGCATTTTTGATTTTTTGATTCGAGGTTGGGATAATACCTTGTTAAAAATCAGACTTTGCTGAGAAAAGCTCTTTTTATGATATTTCCGAGCGATTTTAATGAATTTTCGCTTCGAAAAAAGTTTTTTGATTTTAAATCTTTGATCTTTTTTTTCATTTTTTTTTTTCGATTCAAAATCAAAAAATAAAAACATTGGTTACTAATAAAATTCTTATTCGAAAAAGCTTCCTTTTATGATATTTTATAGCGATTTTAATGAGATTACTTTTTTCCATTTCTACTCGGAAAAATTTTGCTTGAACTGAGATTCTATGGCTCATTTTTCCGTTTCACTCGGCGTTAATTTTGATTTCTTCCCTTTTTTATTCACTCTCTTAGCGTCCAGTGTTAACTCTTATATACATTGCATATTGTCAAACTCGGGGATCGAAAAAAAGTTATTTTTTTATGAAATTTACGAGCTTCTTTTCCTTCAAAACGAACATTTTTAAGCTCTCTGTGGTTAGTAAAAAAAAAAGTTCTCGGAATTTTTCTATTTCTTGGTTTTTTTGACGGCCAGGAAGATATAAAGTCTGAATTTAATAAGCTCCTTTTTTAACTTTATATTTTATTTCACTATTTTCGAGCTTTTTCAGAAGCTATCTAGTTTTAGTTTTTTGCGTTTTTATGAACTTTTTCCCGGAAAATACAAAAAATCGTTCGTCTTCCATTTCAAAGAAAACGAATAAGAAGTGAAAATCTCCAACCTTGTCTTTTTCTTTCTAATCACATTAAGAATTAACCTCGTTTTTTCGGCGCTGATTTTCTTTTTATCTCCATGGTTTTTTCATCTTTTTGATCGAATTTTGAAGGTTTCAACAGCAATTTTTTCACGGGTTTTTGATATTTTGATGTTGAAAGTGTCCAGTAGAATCGGAAGTTTTAAGATTTCAATTTTTAGAAACAAAAAAACACTTTTTTTATCAATTTGGAAGGTTTTGACAGTCAAACATTTTTTTGATTAGACCCCATAAATTTGATGTTAAAAAGTGCTGAGTGAAATGAAAAGCTTGAATTTTTTGATTTTTTGACTCACTGAGAACTGGTTTTTAGGTTAATTTTTTTCATTAGTGAAATTTAGTAAAATAGAAATTTTGAATTTTTTTCAATTTTTAGGCCCAAAAAAATCTTGTTTTCAATTTTTTTCACGAAAAAATGTTTTCTACATATTTAAATCTTACTTTGCTGTTTCGAAAAAAAGATATGAGAAACATCAAATTTCTTCGGAGTTCCAATGCTACCTTGTGCTGGAAAATCCTAGATTTATTTCATTTTTTCGAAAAAAAAAAGATCATCGATTGATTTTTATACATGGAATATTCATTTTCAAGTTTTCGAAAAGAAAATTTTCGGAAAGTTGACTTCAAATCTTCTTTTTCTAAAGGTTTTCCGTTTGCCAATGGTCTGTTGATTAGTGGAGATCGTATTGATTTTTCGGATTTTTTTCTCTTTGCGAAAAAATGTGGGTGTGAAAAGCTTGAGTTCGAGTTGAACTGTGGGGCCGTTTGGAAAAATTATATTTCCCTTATTTTACATTTTTTTTTCTTTTCATTTTCAACAAACCTTTCAGTAAAGGATTACAAATATCAAAAATTTCTCGTTTTACCGAATTTTCTCGATTTCTCCAATCTGATATGTCAAGCCTCCATTGCATTTTTGACAGTATCTTTTTTTTTCAACCCATTTTTCAAGTTTAATTTTGTCCCATATTCAATGATTTTCATCTGTTTTCCGGTTTATTACAGTTTGCTAACCTCTAAAAATTCGCTTTCAAAAAATATACCTAGAAGTTTTCAAGCAAATAAAAAAAAATCCATTTTTATGAAATTATTATTTTGTCGCCGTACTTTTTTGAATAGTTCTTTCCAGAAAAAAAAATACAAAATTCGAAAAAATTACCAAAAAGAGTGTAAAAGACATGATAAAGGAACGCTCGTATTTTATTAATTTTCAATGGAGCACAAGAAAACAGTCGCTTTTTGTGAACGCCCGCACTTTATATAATACCACTCTTTACATCATCTATCGGCATGAAATTCTCAAAATTCTCGAAAAAGAAACTTGCTAACAGGAATTACAGTTTCAATGGAGCTTCAAGTAGATTCATTTTTACGGATATTGTTTTGAGTTCCTCTGTAATCAAAAAGAAAGCTGAAAAAAAAAATCAAGCCGATGATTATTCAGAAACTTTTAGTTGAAGATGATAATTTTTTTCGGACTCAAATTTCAAACGATTATCGTTCACTAGGAAAACATTTAGTGGCCACTATAGAGGTTCTCTATTTAGTGGCCACTTCAGGTTTTCATCCAATATTCCTTCCAGTAACTCTGATAATTTTGAAACAACAGATTGGACCAGTTATTTTGATCCATTGACCCCTAGAGTGGTCAGTAGAGTTTTTAGTGGTCTAGTAGTACCACTTATACCTCCATAGTGGCCACTAGTTTTTAACCCCTTAAGTGGTCACTAGTTTGACTACTATAGTGGCCACTAAAACTTCGAAACCCTATATTGGCCACTAAACATTTTCCCTGCAAATCTACTTTTTTCCTTTAAAATTATCAATTTTGAACATTTTGAACCTACTTTTTTTCCCTTCAGAAATCTAGATTCGATATACTTTCAGCTCACTATTTTTCCAACAATCTGAACTTGATTCAAAAAAGACAATGAATTTTCAGACGAAGAAATCCCGCGGCGAACGGGAACGACTCTCGTCGACGTCGACGGAACTGAAGACTCTGAAGGCCGAAATGGCCTGTCTCGAGGCCGAACGGTTCGATTTTCTTCCCTGTTGCCGTGAAAATGATAGGATCATTATCTCAGTGGGAATTGTGAGAACCAGGTGTGGGTGTGGGAAAGAAAATGGAGAATTTATTTTAGAGAAAAGGGATGAACTATCTCAGAAGAGAAGGAAGACGGAATGGGAAAGGAAAATGTAGCGGTTTCATCGGAAATTCATCATAAAATAGTTTTCGAGGACATTTTTTTGAATTTTTGGCTGAAAAAAAGTTGGAATTCATTTCATCATTTTTTTATCTATAAGTTCATCAACATTTTTTTAATTTCATGGCTTTTCGGGAAATTTAGAGGTTTCTCTCCCTTTGTTTTTCACTATTCAAAGTCTTCTTTTTTTGACATGCAGTCTGAAAAAAGAAGGGCAAAAAAATAGCTGGATGGTCAGATTTTTTTCCATTTTTTTCTCTTTTTATTTTATTCAATCTATTAATATATTAATGTGAAACTTTGAAAAAAATTTTACGAAATTAGAAGTTTTCAGTGGTGGCTATAATGAGAAAGCTTCATCCAGACGTTTAGAACGTTTTTTTGAGAGAGTTTTTGAAAAAGTTACGGACTTTGTACCCTCTTGTGAAAAAAAGTCCTTCTTGTTAAGAATATGAAAAAAATTAGAATTTTACGAAAAATTTTTTTGAATTTTTTTGAAATAGGAGGCATACATGGGATGGGCAACCCCCATTTTCTCTTTTTCAGGTCCCACCGAGACTATCCCATGTATATATATATGGGATATACAGAAGAGGCTTGAAACTTGCAACCATCACTGGGTAAAATGAGTTTTCTGGAAAATCGCGATGAGAAAAATGAAATATTACATAAGAAATCACTCCATATTGAAGAAAATGTCTGAAAAGTGGATCAAATCATTTATTTTTTGTTTTAGTCAGATTTAATCGACTAGGCGGTGAACAAGAACTCTAGAAGCTATAATGAAAAACGGCCTTTGGCGAGATAGAAGACCAAAGGTGTAGTTTATCAAGTTGAAAGCATGGTCTTCCGGTTTTTCGTCTCGTTCTTCTACGCGTGGTTCATTCAGTTGCGCCTAGACGAGCTCAGAATGTAGCTGATCTTGCGTTTGAGCCCGAAGACCGTCCTCTCGGTAGAATCCTCAGAAGGAGAGCGACCATAGAAGAGTGAACACTTTACACAAAAACAGTCTTTACTCATCAAAAAATCTCTAATTTTCCAATTTACATCGTTTAGTCTGACGCTCCTGGAGGCGAAGCATCGCGTGGAGGTGCTGCAACTGGAGGTGGAGCGGCTCGAGACGGAGTGCGACGTGAAAGAAGCCCAACGCGGCGAATTCGAGACGCGCGTCGTGGAGCTGCGAAGCCGCATGGATACGGTAGCCTCTCATATTCCATTTCCATTCCTCTGTCCCCAAACACCTTCATTATTTTCCCTTTTTTCGGCTCCATATTGCTTTCATCCCCGCATTTTTCTCCTTATTTTGAGCTCTTGGGAATTTTTGATGGAATCTGGGGGAAGAATTCCAGAAAATTATTTTTACTGTGAAATTGATTGTTCTCTTGATTTGGACATTTCTTGAAAAAAATGTTTAAAAAAAATGTAGTTCCAGTTTTCGTGGCCAAAAATTTACTTCATTTTGTTCATTTTCTCCCTAATATGATGGGAATTAAGAAAAAAATACTGCAGAAAAATTTTTTTTCCTGTGAAGTTTTTTTGCACTTGATTTGATGTTGAAAGAAAAAAATTATTGATTTTTGAACATTTTGAAAAAAATTAAGATTTTCCTGCATTTTCTTTTGCTTACTTTGAGTTTGGGGGGTATTTGATCGAACATTGAAAAAAATGCACGCAATTTTTTTGGAAAGTTATCCGGTGAAATTGATTTTGCTCTTGATTCGAACGTTTAGAAGGGAAAAAAATTACTGGCTTAAAAACATTTTGAAAAAAATATAATTCCATTTTTTTGGAACTGAAAAATTTCCAAATTACCCTATTTTCCTTCTTATTTCAAGAGTTTCGGTAGGAATATTTGATTAAATCTAAGAAAAAAACCGCAGAAAAATTTCTTGAAATTTTGTGAATCTCATTTGTCTTTTTGATTTTGAAGTTTGAAAAACAAAAATTCGAATTTTTTTCACATTACCCTTCTTTTTTTCCCCTTGTTTTGAGCTTTTGGCGGGGAAAAAAACGAGGAAATTTCTAAAATTTGCGAGAAAAATCGCAATAATTTTTTTCTCTCTCGATTAGACGTTTAAAAAAATGGAAAATTACTAATTTTAAAAAAATTTTGGGAAAAAAATAGTTATTTTTTTCGTAGCCGAAAGGGAGTCTTTTTTTCATTTTTAGGACATTTTTCAAGAGAAAAAAACGATCTATTTTGGTTTAACCTGTATCAACTCAAATTTAAGGAAAATTTCAAAAAAAAAATCTCTTTTTTTATAAAGATATCCGAAGGCCAAAATCATAACTTTTCTTTCTCACTTTGACGTTTCAACTTTTGAAAACAGTTGAGCCTAATGAAAAAAAAAGGTCTTTATTTAATTTCCAGTGTTTATTCACCGTTTTAATTTGTTTGCCTTGTCTTCTTAGACGATCAGAAACGAATGTAATCTTGTGACCATTTTTTTCCGTCTCATCCCGAATCTCACCTTTACTGCTTCAAGTTTCATTCTAATAGTTGATTTGAGCGTTTTTTTATTACTAGAAAAAAATCAAATAAAAAGAATATTTTCAGAGAAAGTAAATTTTACCGCTTGATTCGAAGAAAAAAATTGAAGGAAACGCTGAAAAAAAGTCGCTCAAATAGTTGCAGCTCTTGCGCTTCAATGAGGAGAATTGAATAGTTGATTGGTTTGGGAGGTTGAAAAATTATCCTACTTTAAAAAGAAAAAAATTTGATAATTTGGAAAAAGCTTGTCGCTTGTGTGCTCCATGGCTAATAAGAGACATTTTATTTTTTCGATTTTTTCTTGATTTTTTTTGGGATCTTTAGGAATTTGAAATTAGATAGGACTATTAATTTGTGAGAAAAATTGAAAAAAAAATTAAAAGAAATTAGTCGGCAGAAAAAAAAAGACCATGAAAAACTGTGGATAAAAAATGAGAAACGGAAAAATTTCAGAAAAAAATTTTTTTGATTTTTTTATTTTGTCATTATTCTGCCTTTTTTTCATTCGGAATTTACCAATGACCATTTTTTTATGCTTTTTTTCAATATTTTTTTATATCTATATATTCAATACTTTTTTTCAAAAATCGTTGCTTTTCAATAATAATTTTTTTAAACTGATCGCTTAAATCTAAAAAGCTCATAAGTCAGATTTTTCGCGGTCATTTTTTTGATTTTTTTCGTAATTTATATTAGATCCTATTTTTTTCGAAAGAGATATCACTATCCAAAAAATCAAATTCGAAACTTTTCATTTTGCAAACTCTCAATCAATTCTTCTTTTTTGCTCTTTTCCAAATGAATTGCCAATTGTGGGGCGAAAAGACGCATGAGTAAAGAGCGGCTCTCGTTAATTATGCTCTCCAGCCGAGGAACTTCATTTCCTGAGTGAAACTGCCAATTTTGGGCCCGATCGGTCCCCCCAAATGGTCTTGTTTTTCGGCCCCTTTTTGTTGCGAAAAGTTCCCCTTTTCCCAACTTTTCCTCGATGCATTTCAAATTAAATTGAAGGAATTTTCAGATGAACGCTGAATCGGCCAAACAAGTGGAACTTCTGAAAGAAGAGCTCCAGGCGCTGAAAAAGGAAAACGAACAGGTCGAAGAATCGAAAAGGAGATTGGCCGTCGAGCTGTCTGCTGGTGGGCTTTCAAGGCTTTTTAGGGAAAATTGCAATTTTTTTTGGGTTTGAAAAATGGTTTTAGCATCGAAAAGTCAATTTTTTTGGCTAGCCTGGAAATTTACCAAAGAAAATCTCAAATGGTTGAACTCAGAAATCGGGAAAATAGTATCATTTTTCTGTTGATCGTTTATTGGCTGGCTTTTTGAAATTATCAGCCGAAAATTAGGTTTTTCGAGCTTAAAAAGCGTCGAAAACTTGATCAAAATATGTCTTTTTTGGAAATGGCTTGAAAAATAAGTTCTGAATATTGATAGCGAAAAATCCGCAAAACATCATTTTTCTGTTTCTTTTAAGAGTTTTGAGAGAGAAATCTTGAAAGTGATGATGATTCGAAGTTCATATTTTGAAAATATATTTATCCAAAAATAATTTTCAATCGACTTGGGTCCATGTGGATATAGCTGATTCACGGCTGGCTTGAGCCATCGAAAAAATGGTCCCGACACGATAATGCACGAGATAGCGCCTGGCTCGTGGAGAGCGCAGACATGACACGCCCCCTTAGCGTCCCAAGCTAGCCGTGAATCAGCTATAATCTCTTCCCCTCAAATCTTTGATTCTTTTTGAGAGAAAATTCGTTAAATCTAACGCTTATTTTTAAAAGATTAACATGATTTATTTCATTTTGGAATCAATAAGTTATCGATTTTCTTTTCAACAGAAACGACACGAAGATGTGCCTTGGAAACGGAGGTTACAGCGATGAGAGAACAACTGATGAGAAACGTGGACCTCTTCGAATCCGGAGCCTTCTCCCGAAACGGGAGCGTCCGGGCCCCGCGGGCCGACGACCAGGGCAGGACCTCCTCGAACTTGTCCTCCCTCACCTCAACTACCGACTTCGGCCCGCTGGCCACCATTCCCGCCCGACCTTCGGCTGGATCTCCCGAAGCCCAACTCGACGACGTCGCCTTGATCATCCGACAGCAGAATATGATCAATGAGATGCGACAGAGGTGCATGAAGTTCAAAAAGAAGCCCCTAAAGGGAAGGAGAAAGGGCTCCCTAGAGGGGAAGCTTCAGGGGATACTTAGGAACGCCAGAGTGGTCCCTAGAGGGGTTAAGGGGAAACAACAGCCTTCACGGGGGACAGAATAAGGCTTCCTAAAGGGCTGAATCTAAGTGTTTCCTATAGGAGTTGAAGGGCTGACTCCTAAAGCTCCTTAAGTGGCCACTGAAGGGGTTTTTCAAGTTTTCGTTTCTTCACTTTTTTAGAAGCTTTTTGCTTGAGTTTTAACCTTTTTTTGACACTTTTTACGGCACTTTTTCGATTTTCAACTTCTTTTCTATGTTATTTTCCGTTTTCTAGTAACTAGGCTTGAAGTATAAGGTCAGAAGAAGACACCTAACTTTTTATCTTTTGACATTTTCCTGCCAGGTGCGAAGAAGTACGAAGAAAACGAATATTTTTGAAAATATAAACAGAAATTTTGCCCCTATAGTGGCCACTAACTGAAAACCCTAGAGTGGCCATTTTTGCAAGCTTTAGTGCCTCTATATGAGCAGGTGGAGTGGCCCCTTGAGGGAAACCTACTAGAGCCCCTAAAGTTGCCACTCTAGGGGCTACTCTGGTGTTCTTGAATTTCTAAAATATATATTTGTTTTTGAGGAATTTAGGCAGTCTTACTTTTTCAAATACATTTTAGGGCCGAGCACAGCCAACGAGAAACGGCCCGAATGAAGGCGATCCTCGAGGCGAGCGCCATCGTCGAATCCCTCGACCGAAAAACGTCCCTTCGAGCCTTTGAAATCAACAAGATGCAGGTTTATCACCTGAAGAGTGATAAGAAAAGTTTCTGATGCCAGGACCTGGAAAGCGCGTACAATCGGATGAAGTTGGACGTGGAAAGAATGATTGCCGAAAAAGCCGATGGCGGATTCGAACAGATGAATGTCAAATGCATCTTTGACCGGATCATCGAGGAAAATGAGAGGTTGGTTTGGGATTTCCAAGAAAAATTGGAAGGGTGAATCGAAAAGAAGAGAAATAACATGATTATGTGAGATAGGTTCCAAAAATCACCCAGTAAAAAGGTTTTTCGGAGGATTCTGAAGCGTTTACTGACCACTTGAGTGTTTTTCGCGTCCCTCTAGGGCTCACTTGACAAATCGACAGTTTCAAGAAAAACTTTGAGTTTTGGGGGTTATGTTCTTCACTTGGAGGTTTTTTTTTCACTTTAGTGTTCACTTGAATCATATTTGTTCAATTAAAAAAGCTGAAATGCTCCTGAAAGGAGAAATTGTGTTTTTTTGAAGTTTCGTTCCAAAAAAAGGCGAAAAACCCTTGAAGAAAATAGATTAACTAAGGCGTGGCGTTCCGGACGATTCTGAGGCGTTTAATGATCACTTGCGTCCCTCTAGGGCTCACTTGACAAATCGACAGTTTCAAAAAAAGGAAAACTTTGTGTATTTTGAAAATTGACTGGATGGTACCGCATAGAAAAAAATTTTCCCGAAAAAATCGTGAAAAATCAGAACCAAAGTTGATTTTGTACTCTGTCAGCTTTCCAAAAGCTAAATACTTTGATTTGAGTTTTTCTCTGTTGAACCCATATTTAGCTCGGAACAATGAGAAGATCGAATGTTATAAAAAATTGGACTCGATTTTTTCTTCAGTGAACACAGTCGAAAAGACGGGCAAGTATGGATTTTTCAGGTACCGAGAAGAGTCGGCCGAGCTCCGAGCGATGCTCTCCAGCCATTTCGAACGCCAGTCGGTCTCTGGAAGCATGAGAAGGTCTCCCAGACCGGACTCGGGCCACTGCTCCGGCGCGGACTCCGAAGACGGAAGCAGCGCCGATCTGGAGGAGGAACTCTGCATCGAACGCCAGTGTCGTCATCTGAAGAACCTCGTCGAGTTCGTGGATTTTTTTTTCAAAGCTGAAAGAATCCTTTGCATGCTGGCCAGGTGTCCCATGGGTGTGCCCGTATCAAGCCCGTTTTTATCCAGCTTGAGTTATGCTGAAACGGGAGACAGTATAAGAAATAGGTAGCCCTAAAAAGAGACCCAACTGGGCTAAAACGGAGCCTCAGCTATGATAAAAAAGGGCAAGAGCTCTACCAGCAGTACTTATACGGTTTGAATGCGGGCACGCCCGCTGAGAGCCCATTTTAGAACAGCTATCAAACTTCAATAGGATGAGAGAGCTCTCCAGTGTCCGCGTGTTTCATCGTTAGCAAGCGTGCTTACCCGGGCTTTAGGCCTTTTTTTTGCAAAGTCTGCCCGGGCTTGCCCGAATTGAGGCTTTGAATAAATTTTTGAAAATTGGACGAAATAAAAATCTTGACTCAAAATTTTCAACTCTTTGGGCCAGCCCGATCGGCCTCGCTAAGGTCGAAGCTTACCGGCGATTTCAGAGAAAGAAAAGATAGCACGTCAACGTGAGAGACGAAGAGGGCGGAAAGAAGTTCAAGCCTCGAAAAAAAAGGCTGTCCGATCAATTTTTTGGGAGTTGATGTAAAAAAAAAATTTATAGCGATCATTAATGTTTTGATATTCAAAGATCCAATGATTCTGAACTGTAATTTTCGCGAAATTTGAATTTTATTCCTTCCAGTAGCCTCACCCAAATGGTCACTAATCAAAGCCGCGAAATCGAGCAACTTCGACAGCAAAGATCCTGCGAGTCGCAAGCCCAATTCGTTAGTTTCTTATTTTTTTTGTAGAGGGAAAAATGCAAGGAACGCTGGTGAAAATGGTCTCAGAAAAGCGTGAAAAATGCTCCAAATTGAGCCGAAAAGGTCAGAAGAGAGGGTCATGACCTTTGGGATTGATATGGTTTTATGGGAATGATAAAGGGAGTCTTTTCGATTTCAGGATCGTTTTTGTTATTTTTCTTCAATATTGACTTATTTTTATGTTTAGAATTCATCAATTAGTTGAGATTCGTTCAATTTCCTTCTGTAAAGTTAAAAATTGATGATTGTCAAAAATATTAAGTGAACCCAAAAAGTGATCTTTTTGATCCCAAACATATTTTTGACGTTCAAGTTATTTCAAGTTGAGAAAACTTGAATTCAAGTTGAAAAACTGCAGTTATTTTCCAAATAGGCATTTTTCCACATAACCGCCGTACTTCCAGACCTTTCATGCATGTTGGCTCTTCGCTCTTCGTATAGCAATTCGCGAACGGCTCATTAAGAAAAATCCACTGGATTTGGATACTGACTGTCCTTATTTTTTAAACATGCATGAAAAGTCCTTGAATGGAATGACGGCGGTTATGTGGAAATTGGAGAAAAGCTACAGTTCTTCATCTTTTATTCAAGCTTTCTAAACTAAAAATAACGTTGACCAAAAAAATATGCATAAACACTTTCTTCACCCTTTTTGCGGCCTCTCCCTTTTTTCGCCCTTTTATGACTCTTTTTAGCCCACCAAAAATCAAAGGCTCAATAAAGGCCGTAAAAAGGGACCCTTTTAGCCCCCATTTTGCAGTCACTCCCTTTGTGCACCCGTTTTCCGCACTTCCGATTTTGGCAGTGTGTTTAGGTTCAAAAATATCACATCAATTTTCAATTTTGCAGAAATAAATTAGAATTCGAATAGCCTTTTTAATTTTTTCTAGGAAGTTATAAGCTTGGAGGCGTCATAAACCGAATGAAAAGCTAAAAATTACAAAGCATCCCAAATTCTCAGCTTTCATTAAAAGAAGGTGTTCAGACCATTTTTCAAAAAATTCTGAACAAAAATTACCTTTTTCCGTACTGATTTCAACAGAAATTTGATGAACTTGTTTCCGATAACAAAAACATGAACCTCTAGAGAACATCAACTGTAAAAAGAAGCGGGCGACTACAGCCTGCCGTTCTGGGGCGGTTTATGAATCACGTGTGTGTGTGGATTTACAATGGCGAGTGGACGGCCGCTTCGGCTAACGGTTTCTGGTTCTCTTTTCGAGTTGTCTCCCTTCCCCATTCAACCTTCCTTTTTTGTCGTATAGTTTTGGCTTCAGAATATGTATAGCCCGTTCACGGCTAACTTGGGACAGCGAACGGGCGGTGTAATTTTCGCGGCGAAGGTAGATCATGGCGACTATCCATGCGCCTTCCTGAAAGCCCAATTTTATGACTTATTTATTTTTTTATTTTTTTATTTTATCGATTTAAAATAAATCTAAAAAAACCAATGAGATGGATTTAAATAAAAAAATATAGTCAACATAAACAGAATAATTCACCAAATAAGGCTCTTATTAAAGGCGCATGTACGAACGCCATGATCTATCACCGCCGCGCAAGTTAAACCGCCCGTTTGCTGTCCCAAGCGAGCCGTGAACGGGCTATACGATACCTCTGATTTACTGTTTCTCATGAACTTTTTTTTCTCATTGATCAATCAATAGATTCTTGTGGTAGACTCAAGGAAATTGAGAAGTGAGAATGTTTTCGAGAAGAAAGGCTATATAGCTGATTCACGGGGGTGTGGCCTGTCTGGGCTCTCCACGAGCCAGGCACTATCTCGCGCAGTATCGTGTCAAGACCCTTTTTTCCATGGCTCAGATCAGCTATACAGTTTTGCCAGAAAACCTTCATAATAGTTTAGATTAATCCACGGTTTCTCATAGACTTTTTTCCCGGTTTTTTGTCCATTATTCGCTTTACCGTCGTATTTGTGCTTGCTGTGGGAAACTGAGAAAATTTTCGCAAGGAATCAATATATTTTTGCAGAATAGTTTTCGAAATACAGTTCTTGGATATTATTCGCTACTATTTTCAAATAAAAAAAACGTAAGAAAGCCGTATTTTCTTAGGTAATATAGAGTGGTCACTAGAGGGGCAAGCTCCTGTATTTTCCCCTCAAGGGACCACCTCAACTCTCCCTTTAGAGTTTGCAAAAGTGGCCACTCTAGGGACCTCTATACTTCTTTTGCCTATCGAAAAAGTAGAAAAAAGGTAAATACCACTATAGGGGCCACTAGAGAGGCTTAGGGGTCAGTCCCTCAACTTCTACAAAGACAAATTAATTTCTAGTCCTTAGGGAACACTATTTTGTCCACTTTAGTGATTTTCTGTTTATCTGACCACTCTGGGACTTCTCAGTTCGTACTCCATTTCTTTGATAGATTTTTACTATATTTTCTAGATTTCAACTAAACACTGACTAAAAAAAACTTGGTAGAACAGGGTAAATAGTGACGCTGTGAATCTGTTGGAAGAAGTGAAAGCTGGAATTTTTAACGAGGGTCTTCTTTTTCTCATTGCCATGCTAATTTTACTGGTTTTTCTGGGTTATAAGGCTTGTCTTCAGAAGAATTTTGCACCATACTGACTTGAATCTTCTTAAAAAATTTTGTTTAGATTTTTAGCCTGAAGTTGGGGCGCGTCTTTAACTGATTTTTATAGCTGGAGTCATAGTTTTTACGGATTTTAACTAACTTTATTCATTACATCGCGTTGATGAGGCGAAGGTTATTAATTTGAGCGATCGTTTGAACTTATAAGAATAAAGTGAAACGAAAAAGTTGAGATTTTTTTTAAATTTTGAAATTCATGAACTCCATTCACAGTTGGTATTGGGATACAGAACCTGAAACTATAAATTTGCTGAATTTTTGAATTTTTTTCAAAATAAATTTTTATCTTAATTTGGATTGGTTTTCAGCGGATTCTGACCGTTTTTTTCAAAATTCCGAGTTCGAAAGTTTTTATTATATCAGAATATAGCTCCTTAACTCATCAATTTTTGAAATTCATGTATTTTTGTTCTCAAAATGAATTTTTCATCGAACTTTTCAACGTTTTTCTTTGAAAAGAAGCTTATTCTGACCGTTTTTTCGAGATTTCATTTATTTATTTCTCTAATAATCGGTCCTTGGACCTTAGATTTCGAAAATTGAACCTGGAAGTTTTCTGAAGCTGATTTGAAATATAATTCAAGCTGATTTTGAAAAATTTGCGTTTTCGTGGGAAATCAACACGAGTTTGAGGGCTACAGGAGTAAAAAATATTATTCCTGGATTTCATAGTTTTGTAATTTTTCTTGAAGATTATTCGAAGAAACTTTGAAAATTTCCATTTTCTTGGAAATTTCATCGATTTGAACTTTTAAAAACAATTTTCTAAGTCGAAAATAGTCTCGGGAACTCCCTCAACACGAAAATCTGCTTTTTGAAGTCCATCGAAGCGATTTCCGTCCGCATTTTCGCGATTTTCTCCTCGTGAGTTTATGTCGCTGGAAGCGGAAATGCGATGTGTCCTCTTCATGGGATGGAAACGCCCGCGGCATCGCCCGCCCGCCCGCGTGGAGGGATGACCCCGTTTCTCTTTTATTTTGTCGGCAATTTCCTGTTTTCCAATACTTTTCTAGCATCTCCTTCAGTTATTTGGCTCATTTTTAATTTTGAGAGGGTTTTTTGAAAGGTTTAGCTTTTTTATTAGGGTGTTTTATGGGGAAAAATAAATCTTGAACTTTAGAAAAATTTTAAATTTTAAAATTTAGTCTTTGATTTGATTGATTTTTTTCTGTTGGAAGTTTCACTAAGAAAAAAATGATTTTTTTCAATACATTTTCATAAATTTTGAGTTGGTTTTTGAAAGTTGTGTTTTCAAGGACTTCCTGGGGTTTGAGCCACCTTGAATAATAAAAATTAAACTTTTGCCCTTGAGAATCGTATGTTGATTTTTCGACTACTTTTTAGATTTTTTTCTGGTGATTTTTTTCATAATTGCAGCTATTTTTGAAGATACAAAATGAAAAATGTATTTTTTTCAAACAATTTGAACAAGTGGATTTATAAACAAAAATAATTATTTGATCCTTTTTGAAACCGTAATCTTATGATTTCTTAAAAAAACTTTTTTTCGAAATTAAAAAAATATTTTTTTAAATCATGGTTTTCGAAAAAAAGCCTTTTTTTCCGGTTATTTCTACGACTTCTTGGAAAAATGAAAACTGAGCTTTTTTTGCTATTCTTGTCAAATTTTTCAGTCGATACCGGAAAATATGTAATCGCTACCATTAATATTGAGTGAAAGTGGGTAAAAAGGAAGATCCCATCAAAAATCATCGTCGCGGACTTTTTTTCCTTCATTTTCATTTGGTTGTAACGATGGATCGTTCAGAAAGATATTTTTCCGAAGAAATGGCATGACGAATCGAATGAAAAGAGAAAATGAACGGCGGGCCGTTTTCGATGAGTCACTCTACCGGTTTTGAAAACAATACGTTGTCTAGGGACTCCAGAGTGTTCCCTAGAGGGGCTCTGAAGCTTGCAAAAGTGAAAACTATAGGGATTATAGATAGTGGTCATTATAGGAGACTTGCTGTTTTTTTTTAAATTTTCAAATTTTACCGAAAAATTGAAAGACCCCTATAGAGACCACTCAAGCTTCTGGAACTTAGTTTTCAGACAGTTTATCCCTATAGGGGCCACCTACATTCAACCCTACTCAGGGAGCTTTTTTTCTACTATAGAGTTTTTTTCCCCTCTAAACCCTATAGGGATCACTACGGCGTTCCTAAGTATGTTTCAAAAAAAAGAAAATAAAATTTTTCGATTTTTCCAAGGAGAAAACTTCGTCGTTTTTGGCTGTTGACTTTGACGCATTTGAAATTTATGGGCTTTTTGGAGACTGGGGCTTTCTTTGTCACTTTTTTCGGCTTCGACTACGCAGCTCCTTGACTTTTTTCGGGCTTTTGCTTTTTTTGGAAACTAAAAAAGTTG